GTAATCTAAAAGGTAAATATAAACAATATATAATTAAAGATAAAGAACTAAACTAGATATATAAATAAGTGTCCTTATATATCCTTAAGTTCTTCCTATATAGAATAGTAGATAGTAGAATAGTAGAATCGCTTTAGCGGATTCTACCGATCTACTTGCTACCCTTCTACTATCTATATAATCACGTGATGCTAAGTAGTGGTTGTCTAGTACGTAGAGCAACCTATATAACGGAAATCCTCTACGGGGTGGATCCGCTTAGAGCGGATCATGCTCTTGCTTAGTGAGCTTATACGTGATCTGCTGATAGGTATCCTAGTTGGCTCTCGATGGCCCATTGGTGTGCCTAGTGGGTCACTACTGATTGGTGACGGATAGGTCCGTAACATAAAGATATATAGATCTTCCGGTACTAGGGTAAGATCTAGTTTTACTAGTACCCTAGTTACTTCTTACTACTATAGTCTTAATAATATATATAATCTATATAGCGCTTTATAGAGTAGCTAGTATTAATTTAATACTTCGAATCCTAGAGGGTACTTTATATATATCTTACTTTATAGTACTAAGTTTAGAAATATAGTAATTATATCTCTTTATATTATATCTAGATTAAATATAGCTACTAATATAAAGATAGCCCTCGCTATCTTAATAGCTAGTATTATAGCTCTTTTCTCCTCTATAGATAACTATTAAAGATCTCTATAAATATAGATTCTCGCTTTAAACTTCTTTAGTATACTATTAGTATCGAATTTATATATAAATACCTACTTTAATAGTAATACCTATATACCTCGCTTATTCGGAATTAGAATCTAGAAAAACGTCTCCTTTTTCCTTAATATCTCGACCTCGAATATAGCCGCTATTTCAAATTATTCGGCGAATCGATAGGTTTTTAATTAATTCTAGGTCTCTAGTAGCGGTAGTAGGTTATCCTAATATAGCTTAGTATCGAACTACTTATTTATACTTATAGTAAATATATATAGTAAGCTTAGTAGCTCTATCTATTTATTAAGAGATAGGTATATAGTATAATCTAGATCTAACCTTAGTTTCCTAGATCTAGTACTAGTAATAATATTTAATATATCGATATTACCTACTATATCTTTTAGTACTCGATCTAAACTTACTTAGGACGATATTAATCTAGATATTATCTCTCGCTAGGATAGTAGTTCTAGGGTCGGCGAGTACGTTATTTCTTATTATAGTTAATACTCTATCTTAGTCCTTTTATCTAGTCCTTCTACCCCTTTAGTTTCGATCGACTATATTATAGAGATTAGATCTAGCGATAATAGGATAGTTTCTTAGGGTACTAGATTCGATAGATTCGGAGATATTAATACTATTCTAGATACTAGTAGTAATAATCTTAATAGTAGAGAGGATAATAATAATAGTCTTAATAGTAGGGAGGTTAGAAAGCTACTAGGTAGGTTATCTATTTACTCCCTTAGTCCTATCTAGTCCCTTAGTCCTATCTATATTAATATTTACTCCTTTAGTCTAGTAATAGACTATAGGGTAGGTAAGCTAATTACTAGCTTAATATCTATATATACTAAGGTTCTCTCTTTAGTAACTATCTCTCTAGCTACTTAGCTAGCTATTTTATTATCTATTTTATTAACTATATCGATAGCTATATTAGCTATATTATTAGGTATATCGATAGCTATATCGGTAGCTATCTAGCCTTACTTAGTAAGCTTAGTTTTATTATCTAGAGCTATCCTCGCTATCGATCTAGGTATTTATATCTATATACTACGCTTAACCTACGCTTCTTCTATAGTAAGTATAGCTAGCTATATACTTAATACTAGTCTATTTATTATAGTATTAACTATATTCTCTTACTTAGGTAGGGGTCTCGATTTCGAATACCGTCTTATCTTATCGAATATAGTATCTCGAACGATATCTACCCTCCCTATACCGCTAGTATATCTCTTATAAAGGAACTATACTTTATATAGGTTCTTAGAGATATACCTAACGAGATATCCTATCTCTACTCTAGATAATATCTTATCTAATTAGGTCCTTTTAATAATTCTCGAGTATATTAAGTACCTATATAACCTTATATTTAATAGGTTAATTATCTAATATTAGATCCCGTCTAATATAGTATATTTTATTAATTCCTTCTAAGGTATAATCTATTAGCTACTAGTTTTACTAGGTTTAATAACCTTAATAGGGGTCCTATTTAGGATATATATCGCTATATATATTACCTCTAGCTATAGAGTATAAGATAGCTCTATATTATTAATTAACGCTCTAGTAGTATATACTACTATCCCTCTAGATCTCTTAGCTAGACTATTTATTTCTAGTAAGCTAGGTAGTAAATACTTAATAGTATATCCCTCTACCTCTATTATTAATTTAATCTTATTACTAGCGCTCCGCTTATTATAGTAGACTACTTTAATTTCTAGTTTTAACTAGTTCTTAACTAGTACTAGGAATTTCCTAATAGCTATCTAGTAGTTATTTTTCTTAGTATAGATAAATATAAAGTAGTATTTAATACTATCTAGGTAGAAGTAAGTTAACTAGATATATCTATTATAGGCCGGCTAATTCTATACTAGGTCGAAATAGACCCTTCTAAATATACTATATACTTAGCCTATCTTCTAGTAAGAGATCTATCTTAGTACCTCTACTAATTAATAAGCTTTATATATCTACTTTTCGTTACTAGGGTTACTTTTAATAGTAATACCTTTCGTTATCTTTACTAGCTTCTTAATACGCTATTAGCCGATATAGCCTAGGCGTCTATCTTAGATTTAAATCGATACTTCTACTCTTAGTTCTTAAGCTAACTTCTTAATTACGAATACTAAATCCTTAGGTTCGAGTATAGGATACTAAAGATCCTTTAATTAGGTTAACTAGGATAGCTTTATATCCTAATAGACTTTAAAAATTAATTGTCTATCTTTAGATATAATATAGTCCCTTCTAAAGTTTATTATAAGACCTTCTTTTATTATTAACCTATAGGATATTAGATTAGTATAGAAATTAGGAGAGTATCTAACGTTATATAACTCTATCCTTACTATCTTTCTACTATTAGGACTAATACTATAGATAACTATAGTACCTACCCTATCGATTTTCGTCTCTATATCTCTTATTTATACGCTACTCTATATATCCTCGAACGTTATAAATAACTCTCGATTATTATATATATATATTTATACTCTAGTATCGACTATCTAGCGCTTTTATATAGGCTATATATTATCGATTTAGGTCTAATTTTAGGTAGATATAATAGTAGTAGAGATGTTAATATACTTACTAGCCGGTAATATAGTTACCTATACTATATTAGATACTATCTTATTAGCTACTATCTTACTAGCTACTATCTTACTAGCTACTATCTTACTAGCTACTATACTAGCTTTTAGACTAGCTTTTAGACTAGCTTCTAGATTAGCTTCTAAACTAGCTTAGGGTATAGGTTTAGAGGAGAAGAAGCTATAACCTTAGTCTTTAAAAGCGGTATTTACTTACTTTTATACTTTTAGCTTTAGCTTTTAACGTCGCTAGTTAACCTAGGCTTTCTAAGCGGGGTTAGCTTTTATTACTTTCTTTTATTTATCCTTAGTACCTTAGTTTCTTATATATAAAGGCGGCTTATTCTTATCGAATACGTCCTAATATTTCTAAGCTAGATACCGGCTATTACTTTAGCTATATAAATAGGATCTATTAAAAAGCTAGGTTTTAGGCTTAGCTTTTTTATAACCTTACTATATCGAAAATATAGCTCTAGAAATACCTCTTTAGTTAGTAGCTAGCTTAATATAGGTAATTCTCTAGTAAGCTCTATATCGGTTAAGAAGCTCGGTAAATATAAATATTATATTATCTACTTTATCTTATAGTCTTAGAGTCTATATTTTATAAAACCTAAGGGATATTACTAAGATAGTATCTAGGAATTAAGTTAGAGTATTATCTACTTCTAGTATTTTCGCTTTTTTATACCTTACTTATATAGTCTCCTAGTTTAATAACTATTTATCGATATCGATATTCCGATCTAATCCTCGATCTAAGGTACGCTAAAGCTAACGAAGCCTAGCTATATTTATTAGATTATACTCGGCGGCGAACTATTATTAGAGGTTATAGAGGAGATTATATAGTATCTTAAAGTCGATAATAAACGGTTAGTAGTTAGCGTAGACGCTATTCCGAATAGCTATTACTACTATATTTAGTCCTTTCTTTTACTAGGTATAGGCTACGTTATTATTAGCCTATTCTATCTATAGTATCTTATATATATCGACCTAATAGTCTTTATACTATATTTATACTTCTATAATTAAGATAACTTTCTTAGGTACTACTAGTAGCTCTAGTCTCTTATTATTACTAGGATTATATAGCTCCTATACGTCGAATTATACTATAATCGATTTAATATTAGCTAGCTATATATCCTATATCGTTATATCCTTTAGTATAACGCGAGAGGATATATCCGCGGAGAGGTATTTAGCTATTTAATATTCGTTATCCTTTATAGATAGGCTTCCGATTCTTAATTTAGGGGTTAGTTTAGGGGTTAGCTTCGGCGATAGGGGTAACGATATAATATCACTTTAACCTTAATTCGACGATAGCTAGGTTTAATAGAACGATTCCGGGCTTATAACTAACGGAAAGCTAGTATACGAACAATATATGGTATAAATGACTAATGTTAATAACTCTAACTAACTAAAATGACAAAACCCGCTATTTCAACAATCTGTGCGGACCATGATGACTAACTGTAATATGCACTTTTGTATGGTATGCCTGGTACCCAATGTCATATGATGTTTCCGGTATATTACCTGGTTTCTACCCTGTATTCGGACTTAGTATTCGACATCTAACTATTATAATTGGCCTTCTCATAACTCATCTATACTACCTCAACCTTGATCTTATCGTAGCGCTACCTTAGCCTTTTTCGCCTCGTCCTCAATTTCATTAAGATCCTTGCCCGTAGTCTGCAGGAGCCCAAGTCGCTCGTTATGTTCGCAAGCCAGAACAGCAAGCGTCGAAGACTTCCACAAGGGAACATGACGGCTCTGACGATTGCTCAAAATACTGAAGATGGCGAACAAAATCGCTAACCCCTCAGTCACAATGGGGACAATGAAGTACCCCCAACGGATGGAAACATATGGCTCGCTCTGAATTCTTTCTCCATGTGCAGGCTGGGTATTCGGACCATACCGCAGGTAGTTCGTCATAGCAGTCGCCATTTTGTTGAACCGGTCGCCAAGGTCCACATCGCCACTCAAAGTCGCGGCGACACCAAGGTTTGTATTGTCATAGTTCCCATCGACCCACTCGGTAGCCATTGTCGTGGACTGGAAGAAATTTACCACTGCGTAGAGACCAGCGTAGCTCATTCCAAGCGCAGGAATATGGGTATCACCGCTTGTTGTCTCATTGGTGTAGACGTGTTGGAACTTGCTTTCCCTTCCGTCGGGCAAGAGTGCCCAGGGATTCTTCATACCGAAATCGACCTCCCGCCTGTTCGCAGAGAAATCACTACCATTGGCCTTGGCACCTGTGTATTCGTAGGCCGTGAGAAAGAGGGAGCACTCTGTGATGTTGATGTCGCGCATTATAAAATTGTAGTCGGGGCTGGATCTATAGATTCCGAACCGAGCGATTTCGGGGAAGGTATCTCGCAATCCAGGATTTGCTGGATCGAACTTCACCAGTGAGGTTGCATTCATGTAGTACGATGTCGCCAAATCGGTAAATCCATAGCGAGTTGAAATGTTAATGCCGCCTGGCGTTGTCATATTGCATCGTTGTAGCGAAAATTTACCACCCGAACAGGTGGCTGCCTGCATTGTTTCCTGGGTGACGTTCCTGCACTCGGCCTTAAACCCAATTGATATGTATGAGTCGGTCCAGCGACATTCTCCAGGGCAGGTGAAAGGTTCACTGGTATTGACGCCATACAGGCCCTGGAAGATGGCGGACTGCATATCGGGGTCCTGCGGGATGCTCTCTAGTCAGGAGCATGTTAGCTGCATTTGTTATTTGAGGTATTTTGGATCGTCGATACTCACGGATACCAGAGTTAGCAAGGCCACTCTGTGCACCCACGCTGTAATTGTGCGCATATCCGAAGCTGGCGGTGTCGGTAGAAGAGATGACGGGTCGCTGGTTAATTAGAACCACCTGTTGCGCAAATGGCGAGAACGTAAGCCGCAAGATCGTGATGAATGCGCCGATGGTGGCTATATTCCATTTGACGGTGGTAAGCATCATAATAGAACCCCAAACACCCCGACTCGCTCCGTCAAATGTTTCAAAGTCGGTCAGCTTGCGAGGCCCGTTCTTGAAGTGAAGCCATTTAGACTGTCCAATAAATGAGCTAACACCGTGCATCAACGCCGTGGTACATGCAGTCGTCAGAATCGAAACTGTTGCATTGAGAGAGATACCGCCGCGCCAGGCAGAGAGAGGCTTGTTGTCCATATACGAGAAGATAATGGCAATTCCAATGAGGAGGAACAGGGCCAGAATCGAACTGATCGATTCCAAAAGCCATTCCTTTGGGGAGTAGAGTGGGTGGCGCTTATATTCAGTAGTAGCTGTAGTTTGAGGCTCGGTGTCTACATCAGAGATCTGAGTAGGCTCATATGGATGAGCTTTCGGGTCACTGTCAACTCCGGCCATGGTGACAGCCTGTAGCTATGGATCTGCGATAGAGATTCTTTTGAGCGAGAGAGTCAACATGAAGATGACACAACGCGATCAACTGTGGAGCGTAAGGCTGGCTAGTGTGATTGATGCCTAACTTCTGGGATTGACACAAATTTAGGCTTGATGGTGGTGGGCGTTTCTCCAAGGACTTTGAATCAAAAAGGTTTGTCCTTCCGGTGGGACCTGCAAAGGGTCTCCAGAGCTGTCATCCTTTCGTACTCAATATGGGAAAGTCTCCAAACGCCACGAAATCAGATACTCGTATTATAAATACTGACTAGGGCGAGGAAGTCCACCTCCAATTGGTGGAAAACGAGAACTGCGATCATGTTTGCGGCTGAAGACCAGCATGGGAAACGAAATTCCTGTCAGTTCTCGTATTCCCCACCCCCAGCCCCCACAACGCTAGAGTTAGGATTGCTGGGCATCGCCAGGTCAGCCTATCAGCGATGGTCTATTTACTCTTCAAAGGGGCCGAACAGAAATGAACTTGCGAACCCAAGCCTTCATTTGGCGGGTGAGTGAAGCAAAAGAAGCTCCTTGTGGGCGATAATAGATGGCACCCCGTCTGTTATTCCCCGTTCCTGAACTCATTTTGTTGTATAATAATTACAATATCAGAAACTACACTTGAATTTCCTTGCCGTTTGGGTGGCTTCGGGTGCTCAGGTTTCAGGCACCAAAGTATGTTGTATGCCTTCCAAGGGGTCTGGGTCATGTCATGCGCAATGTCTGAAGGCATGGGTCAAAGGGGTGGCTAGCTGAATCACAATCAGACCTGCATTAGTTAACAGAAGGGTTAACTTAATTAAACCCAAAATTGGTGTTTTACTGGGATTCCCACTCCCAAGTGAGGTCCGACACGGGCCAGGCCGTTTTGTCCAAGCTCATCCCCGATTTCTCATTGGCTGAACTCAATTTATATTATCCCGTTCCAATCTTCATGCATTGAGACTATCCCAATTCAGGTTAAACCATGGAGGACTTGGTCCCCAAGACCCCCGTGCACCCAGTCAGTCGACCCAGCTTTGCTTATATTGTTCTTGGAGAGGACTTGGGATAATCTCGTGCCAAGCCCACCAACACACTAACCGGTGTTAGTAGTGTGCTGGTGGGCTTGGCAACGATTATTAGGCTACTTTTGCTGACCGTTGAGGCTGAGCATTTCAACAGAAAGCTTACCAGTATCTAGAAAATGATGAAATACTCTCAATAAAGTCACCTATTGAGGTTGTGTCTTTACTAGATACCTCTCTGTTTATCCGGAAGTGACCATGTTACTCCTTCTGCCCTACATTGTGGCATGCACCCTGTTACATTTACAGGGTGCTGCAGCACTTCCACAGGAAATAACCCCATCTGAAGTCTCGACCGTAGCATCGGCCACACCCACAGGAATATCCGTTGTGGAAAATGAAAGAACTTGTGATTTTGATACGATGAACGATTTCTTCGACTACACCAAAAAGAACGGTCTCAACATCACCGTGGAGGTCCAGAACTGCCAGAATCTGTGCCTACTCACGTACGGGGTTGGAAACCCCGATCTTTCTGGGATCGGCGTAAGTAAACACAAACTTTCTCTATTTTTTGCGCCAGCGGAGCTGATCGATTGTGCCTCCCTGTAATCCAGATGATGTATGCATATAGCATACAAACCGGACTTACTATTCTCGTCGGTCCTGTTTATCGTTTACTCTATCTCACCCTAGCGCCAGTGAGCCACTTCATCCGAGACTTACGAGACGTTCAAACGAATTTCTTCTCCTCAAATGGCTTCTTCGTCGGCTCATCCGCCCTAGCCACGCTCGCAAACTTATCACAGAATCCATCCACCTTTGAGATCGCCGAGATGCAGGCCATGGCCTTCCTGCAAGTTAACAGTATTCTCGTGACCTTCTTCTGCCTGGTCGTCGCGCAACCAATGTCGCGCTGGGCCGCGCGGGTGCTGCTCTATTTCATAGTGTTTGTCCTAGTCGTTGTCGCCCTAGGCCTGAGCCATTTGGGTAGCGATAGCAGGGAAAACTGGAGACTTGCCTCTGATGGATGCGCACACAGCTCAACAGACTATAGCGTCATAAACCCTATCCCGTATCCATCATGGACTGTCGCTATCTTTGCCGTCGCGGGTACCATGACATTCTGGATACAGTCTCTTAAGCAGAAATTCCAGGCAGACATGTTACATAAGTCGCTCTTTAGGCTATTGATGCTGTTTTGGGTCATGCTGATTGGACTCTTGACTGCGGGTATGGTGGTCGGCCTAACGATGATGTGGCGACAGCGAAACCATCTACGAAGCTTGGCGAGAGACCAATTTGAGGACGATCAGTGGGGATTCGGACAAATTGCTGCTTTGACGATCTGGGCACCGATTCCGGTTGAACTGCTCTATATTCTGAATGGTAAATAGCTGCTCACATTATTAGTCGGATTTGGTCAAGCTAACATTGCACCTTGTTACAGAATTGGCCCAACGGAAGTCCAAAAGATGGAATCGCTTGAATCACACCATTAGTGTTTTCTTCTCTCCGAAGGCTTTGCAGGAAGACCAAGCTACACCCAGTTCCAACCTACAACCCGAAATGAAAGACCAGGGTGGACGTGGAGGGGTGGTCTAGGTTGTTGCCTGTTAAGCAATTATGTTTTATCCGTTATGATTTTTGCATTACCCCATCCATGATTAACCGTCGAATACATCTTCGAACCGGCAAGCGGTAGTCAGACCCCAGGTATATATTTACCGGCGGGCAGGTACAGTACCAATTTTAGATCACAGTCATCTAATTAATAATTTGAATTACCAATAATTCCATGAACTGACGATATATTTTATAAGGTAATTCAGGTCGTACCAGAAAAATTGTGTTGCACCACGTAGTAGATAGATACCCCTTGGATCATTTCCAACAGATGGTCGGAAGAGAGAGCACTTGATCAATTAACAATTCATCTTATTATTAATTTTTAATACTAGAGACTTCTAAGGTTGCCTACACAGATATTGTAAACCTAACAAAAAGCCTCGAGGCTTTTGATAAACCTCCGTTGAGTTGATATCAAAAATACACTAATTGAGGCCAGACCTCCATAACCTCCCCCCCCCCCAAGTAAATAGACGTATACCCTTCCTTACTATGTGATCAAGTACTAGCGGGAGACCAAATCTAAACTACTGTGGAGGCTGCAAAATCGTGGCCTCTGGCGCTACTATCGCATCGCCATAAAACCTCGTAGATACATTTCCGCCTAGCTTCCCCGTAAATGCCTCAACAGCCTCCAGCATAATCCTCACTATTATTTCTGGTTGGCTCAGAAAGGGAGAATGGCTCGTCTGAAGCCCATACTTCCTAACAAAGTACCATGTCCCGTGATTATTGAGCTCACAAGTCTCCGACAGCCACAAATGTTGGGTCCATCAATACTACCTACGAGGAATCCTGCAGGGATCCCTGTAGTATGAACGTGGAAAATCTGGATGAGATTCATATAGTATGGAATGCACAGTGGTAGGAAGGAAGAGAAATATGAGGAAGCAAGATCTAAGTACTAACTACAGGTGCCGTCACCATGGGTGCTAATGTCACAGGCCATCCGACCAGTACGCTAGATCCTCGGCTGCCAGAGATGCCACGCTCGGATACGCCCACGCCTTGGGGTCAAAGGATCCGACCTTCTTTGCGGACTGCAAATAGTTGTGAAGCTTGCTTGAAAGCTCTGCCGACTCCGTGGTGAACGATTGCAGCTCCTGGAGTCGGTACCGAGGGTCACAGAGATGCCAGGTGACGTAACCTTGGCAAAATGTGCGCAGTGTGTGCATTATTCTGGGGTCCTTGTCACGAAATACGGCGAGGAGCTGCTCTGAGTCCGCAATCGCGTCATCGGTCGACTTCTTGAGGCCCTCCTCCAGGGTAACCTTATCGCACCGAGCATAACTGTTTGCCAAGTTGGTCTGGTCACGCGGCTCGTCAAACTCCTTGTAGAAGGATAGCAGGCCGTTCACAAAGGTAATCCAGTTTTCTATCTGCACAATGGCGGTCGTTATTTCTGCAAACAGCTCGCTCTCATCAAATCGTTCCTTAGGGAATATGGAACCCCCAATGCATTGCCCCAGTGCGTTCATTTGTCGCAGAAATATTGGGTAGTTCAAGGACCCAGGGAGACCCATAAGGTTGTGTTGCTCAACCCAACAGCCTTCAAAGACTTTGCAAGCTGCAGTCAGTATGATGTGTGGGAGGGAAGGTGGAGGTATACTTACACTCTGTTGTTGAGCGAATTACATTCAGCCCGCAGTAGGGACCGTAGTGCCGAAGAACCTGAGGGAAGTGGTTATTCACCATTTGCCACCACGGGTGCTCCTGAGGTAGACCGGCCAATATGGTATTGTAAAATGACTTCATGCTCTCTGTGGGATCGTCGTCATGACTGTCGTTAAGGATGAGCATATATGTGTAGTGAATGCTCAGGTCGACCATAACCTTTTCCGAGGCTGTGGCCCAACTATATACGACCATGGTAACCATTGCTTGCAGCAAGGGTTGCAGATTGCTTGGGCTCACTTTGATTTGCTTCTGTCTGTCGTAATGAGCAAAGTGCTTGGCCGTTTTGGTATACACATAGTGGAGCTTGGCAAGGCGCTCTTCACGCGTATAATTTGTGTCGTTATACTGTATCGTGTCCAAAAATTGAACCACAGAGTTGGAATAGTTGTCAGTAGGGAAGCGTTGAGTCGCCATAGTTACTGTGTCTCGAGAGGCAAATCTTGATGCGGATGATGGGATTCGTTCAGTAGATGTGGGCGAGGTTATGGGAGGCACATGGATAACACCCCAACAGACTTAAATAATAACCATTCGAGTGGGTCCATTTGCTGTGTAGTATCCATCACCTGCGTCGTACCAATACCAACGCCTTATTTTGCCAACAATGAATGGTAACGACTATAGGATGTAATATATATATTTCTTAATTGAGCTCGCGATCTGCCCCCAACTCGACGGTGACCCAATGGGTAGGGTATATATTTACCTTGATTCCTAGCAAAATCCAAAACTATTTTAAAGTAGAAATGCAACTTACGCCATCCATTAAGGTGTTTTAGGCAGAGCGAGTTTCTTTGGATTACGTTATGTACCTCTTCGACAAGATAATTCAAGTGAGTCAAGAAATAACCGAGAAAGGAAAGCATGATTAGAATAGGCCTATACCGTATGACCACTACTGAATTGTTGGTTGATCTAGAACCATCTAGCGCTTTGGACTTAATTGATGGGAGTACAGAGAATGCGCTGTACGAATAGGGATTCTACTCCTATTGGCTATTATTGCGGGAAGAAATACCGACGTACTATTCACTTCCCCTTTAGGACTTGAGTGCCGGGGCAATAGGGCTCCGGGGGTGTACTTTGCCTATGTACCGGATTTCCTATGCCACGGCTTGGCTTTCCCTTGGGGTTTTAGTGCTCGCCCCCTCTCCGCTTTTGCTCATTGAGTAGAACTAAGTACGCCTCTGAGCGCTCTGATCCGATTAGTGAGCATTATGTAGGCTCACTGAGCAAGCATGACCCACTCACTAAGCGCTCTGATTTGCTCACTGAGCACAACCTGAGCGTCAGGCACCTTAATAAAACGTAACACGCTAGCGTCATCCACATGAAACCCTCGTTCTTTAGATTGCCCCCACTCTCCCTCCTATCAAAAAGGCATTGGTGTTGATAACTTGACGTTTTATTTTGGTACACTTGCTGATAAACATTGCGCCTCGATGGAGCCTAAGGGGTGATCAGCCAATCAATCAATCAATTAAACTGTATGCTCCTGGGAACTCTTACCTACTAGTTCTAGGCATGGACGGAGTACTAGTCTTAGAGTAATTACACAAATCTACTAACGTCGCACTAAACAGCTCAAAGCCAGGACTTAGGTCAGCAGGACTAGCCTGCCCATATGGTCGTGCCTGAACTCTTGATAGAGGTTAACGCCCAAGAGGGTCTGAATCAAGCCAGCTAGCCTAGCTTCGAACTAAATCAATGTTGTTCATTATGGTCTACGCTAGAAATGAACATAGATCATAAATGTATTATTTCATAGCATAGCATATAAAAGACCAATATGAGGCCGAACGAACAATTTGAATTTCTGCTTAGCTACCATTTCCAGCGTGAAGTGTCTTTATCACAGTCTTCATCCTCATATCTAATTGGGGGGTCGGGTTTGGCGAGGTCGAACATCGCTAACCACACGGCACCAAACTCAACCGGACGTTTAGGTTTACCGGCCTTATGGAACTGTCCGATAAAGTACCTATAGTATATCAGTACGTAAGCTCGCGTCAGATGGCGTGGAAATGACATGCAGTGTTTGCGTCTCCCGATTCCAAACCAGACCTTTTGCCCTGGGCACACTAGGCCACCACCCGTTCTCGAATAGCTTGCTAAATCGTCGATAATAGTTAGATTCAAGGACGGGGAGAGAGAGAGAGACGGAAGAACTATTGAACTTACGGAAGAGCCCTAATAAATACTGAGCGAACTTGCTCTCTCTCGAAGCTTTCGAGACCCCAAAATGAATCTGCGCCATTACTATCGCCGAGGCGTAGCCCTGGAACGATTTCCCACACAAGCCAAATAATGAAACCACCTGGAACTAGCCCTGAGCGATCCTGAGTACCGAATTTGTATCCAAGAAGCTTTGGTGTGTTACTTGAGCGCTTTTGAGTGAGATCCAGAAGGGCGGTTAGTTCTCGCGGGGTGAATGTTGTGGCTTGTTGACCTCTGGTATCCGCATCATCCATTTCAGTGGTTCGATGGGGAACTTGTACGTAGATTCGCATGAACGCTGTCTTGATACGGTCTTGGGGGTCACAGCATAGGAGTTTAGCGGAGGCGAAAGAACCGCAACCGAAGGCATCGTTTTCCCCCTTGTGGACCTGAGAGTCATGCTCGTTCAGCTTCTCGAGGATATTCCACTGGGAAGGGCGGGGTTGATCAAGAGCGATAATAGTTCCAGGGTCGACGCCCTTTCGGAACCAGGTTGAGTATGAGGACGACATTGGAGGTGCGTGGGAGAGGGTGTTATGGGTGGGGGGTTTGGGGAGGTTGAGAAGGTGAGGGTGAAGGAGGCTCTTATGTGGGTCACCTGTTATGTATGACGAAGGCGGAACTTTCCATTTTATCACGGGTAGGTGGTGTGGCTGACGATGATTGTTTGGGATGTGTCACGATCTATGGAAAACCATATTTCAGCCTCTGCCAATTGTCTAGTAAGCTTGAAAATACCACGAGTAATTAAGTGGTGGTATCCTACACAGCTTTTGGAAAAGTAAAGCATTGAAGACCCATGTTAATCCTCATCGGCACCTAGCTTATAGTCAGACTGATCACTTATATACATCATAGCATTGGCCTGTTACGTAGGAGGCGATCCAAATAACGCGATATGATAATACTCATGAGGATAGAGTGCCTGAAATCAATCTAGTAATTTGCTCTAGGAAAATTGAAGGAGAATCCTCACCCCCCCCCCCCCTCTTTCCCTCCCTACTAAAGATTCGCGGCTGGTGAAATTCTTGAAATCTGACGGTGCGGAAACTCATCGCAGGCGCGTCGCGTCAAGATCAGGAACCAGTCTGGCCATCTTCAGCTGAAAGAGAACCGAGAGCCCGCTACATCCGGTCTATGGCGCGACGAAAGACACTCGAAGCCCCATAAAGCCTCTATCCTAAGGTAGCCCACTGAGCACCCTTGCTGGTGAAAGTACACAAAATCTGGGGCGGCAGCACCTTGGGAATGGTAGCGGTGCGCGAGCTTGTCTGCAAGTTGCTCCGCAAATGGAGGGCAGCTCGGAACGGGAAGTCTGTCCTTCGGAATAGAGTGTAGACAAGTCGGCCTAGATCCGTATTAGCATGCACGCGAAGATATCTTGCCAGCGACCCAGTATTTGCCTCGAACATTACTGCCATCAGCGCTTACGCCGTGTGGTAACTATTTCAGCACATAGCCGTTCGTAAGCCAGCGCCATCCTAGCTCTCTATGATGGCGTGGATAGTCGTGCTGCCGATGCTAAAGCTATTGACACTAAGGCGTTCCTTATGGGACACCCGGGAGTGGTGACGAGATTGGCCTTTTATTCAAACTTCGCCATCCACGTCCATTCACCCTTGAACAATTTTTAATATCGCGTTAAAGAGGATATAAAAATTCATGAAAGGCCTAGTAGCAACAGTAAATCCTAAGCGCAGAACCAAGGGACGGACTGCTTGTAGAGAGCTCTATCGACCCGTACTGTTCGATGTCAGGTATGTAATTATCCAAAATTTATTTCGTGGCATTATCCTATCTTAAGAAATAGGACTAGATCTGCTCATCCACTTGGTCACCTAGCTCCGTGCAGTCTGACTGTTGCCTGAATATACCCAATCTAGTCTCTCTCAATCGCCTTCCATAGTATCTTCCATATAAAAACATATTCAGATAATTCGACATTCGTCATACTTCGCATGTATTCTGGTTTACCGCGCAACGACCGATATCTCCGAATACTGTGAAATGACCTCCTGAAGTGGAGTAGGTGAAGTTTGACGAAGTCCAAACCCCAAAAAGGCAACGACAGTTCGGTGAACAATTTCGAATGCCTTGAACCCATCCAAAGTTCCAACCATGGCTTGAATGGCCGGGGCCTTTTGAACTGGTAGACCCAGGAGCTTCATCAGGAACGACAAGTCGGAGAATGCGTAATGTTGAGCCTTAGCCAGTTCTAGCTCTAATTTCCATCCCCGCAGATTCGACCAAAACTCTTTCCACGTTGGGTCTGTCGTCTGAGTTTTGTTTTCGTGTCCGAACAGAAGGAATGGACCACGAAGCCCTTCTTGAACCACTGGTCCAAACATTGACCCGTCCAGGTTTGCTCCGGCGATAATCCGATGGTCCAAATGCATGGCTTCGGCGGTAGCTGCACCCCCAAGCGAGTGACCGTACATGGCGACCTGGCGAGTTCTCAACCCCGCGGCACCCGTTCCAGGGAGTAGAGCTGCTACACCAGCCTTTGTGCTCAACTGATCCAGCACAAACGTCACATCTCGCGCTCGGGTTTCGACATCCAGTGGAACCTGCGCGTCACTAATGTTTGCTGCAGTCACGACACTTCCATCCGGGAACTCCAGGAACTCAGTATCGTAGGGATGGTCGATAGACACCACGATGTAACCGGTGCTAGCCACAGCCTGTGCAATGGCATTGTAGAACAGCCGCGTCGTGCCCAGACCTGGCGAGAAGATCACCACTGGAAGGTGGAGGTGATGGCCTTTAGGCGGTTCTGGGCACGCCTGGAAAGAGATGGATTGAAGCGACCCGTTGGGAAGTCCGTATGCGCCATATAGGTCGGAGTAGTATGCGGCAGTTGCGGGGGGTAGGTAATCTATCTTCTCGAGATCGACTTTGCAGTTGGTTGGAGCGAAGATTGAAGCCATCACTGCACGCGGTCCATGATGGGGGTCAAAGGGATCAAGTCTGGTCTTTTCGACCATCTTTGCCGTGTTGTAAAACACATCGTATTGTCCGGGTGGGTCGGGGATCACCACTGCAGATACAGACATGGCCACAATGGGCAGCAGACTAAGAATTTGGAGCATCATCAGTCACTAGAAGACGCAGTTGAGGATGAAAGAGATATGAAAATATAGTCTGCGAAATCTTGTTGAAGTAGATGATGGCATTCTAACAAAGATAGCCAGAGGACCACCCTGACCTTTATATAGTTGGAGCGGTAGACCAGCATTTGCCTGTTCGCAAAGCTCCCGTAGCGACTTTTCTGTCCAAATCAATGAATTTCCCAAATAGGAATGTATAGAGCGTAGTTGATAACTAACACTCACCTAGAACAATTAGGTAATCTTGGAACCGTCCGGGGAACCAAAGTGGGTCCTTTGTCTCGCGATATTACTTCCTAATTAGGTTAGCGCCATCGGGCACCTCGCAGCCTGCTGGCGGACGAGGCAGGTCTCGCTCTAATATATCCATTTTCATCGTAGTGCTCATTGGGGATACGCGCCATTTATCTGTTCGTTAGAAATTTCCTCGAGATAATGTCCACATCAACAACGTTGCAGGGGAGAATGGTCGGCCCCCTGGACAAGCGAAGGCGGATGACGCGCTGCCTCGGCTGCGCCAAACGACGCATCAAGGTCTGGGACCTGAAACTCCAATTCCATGGGGTTAATGTAGCTAACTCTTAGTAGTGTGAAGGGGGATTTCCGTGTGTTTATTGCGTTCGAAAAAACGCGATATGCGTTGCCCAGCAGCACTCGGGACATGGTATGACAAAGTTTGTCAACAAAAACCAGCAAGACGATTTTTGTGGACACCACCAAAAGTCTGAGCAGAAGGGGATGTTCATTCCAAATACGGAAACCCTTGGGGCTCACCCACTTAATTTCATCGGGAAAGATGAGGGTACCCGCCGTCTTGATTATTTTGCCTCTTTTATTGAGCACAACATGTTCACGACGAGCTTCGCATCAATAGTTCCGGACTTGCTTCCTCTAATTTCAACTTCCCCAGTTCTGTATCATGCAGTAATAGCGGTTGGTGCATTGGATGCGAACCGACATACCGGTGGACGCGCATTACAGGGAGAGAAATCAGCCTATGTGGATTCGATAACCTCTTACCATAAGTCAATGGGTATCTTGCGGTCATGTCTGGGAAATAGAGACGTGATGCAAAAAGACGACATCCTCTGGGCTACGTTTTTCCTGGGGTTGTTTGAGGTATGCTTCTTGTTATAAAGGGAATTCTCTAGCGGACACATTAAATACTTGCTTGACTGACATCAATACACCTAGTTACTCTCAGACGAATCCGGCGAAGGTTGGGTTAAGCACATGCTCTATGGAACGTCAAAAATGCTCCAGCTTGCAGGACCAACCGATTATATGTCATCGGCCCGAAGGATATTCTACGACCTGTTTCGTGTCCTAGAAGCCAGCCGAGCATTAATCTATAATGAAGAAACTATTCTTTCTCAGGAATGCTGGCTTGCACTCCAAAAGTCCCTGTCGAGCAGTGCCACTCGATGGGACCCCATGGAAGAGATTATAACCCTCATGATTGAAACATCCGCCTTCAGCCTACGGTAAGTTCACACTGATGAATGAGCGACTTTTTCTATTTTACTAATCTGACAGACAGAGCCGGTGCTATAATTGAGAATATTCCCGAAGCAGAACGATTCAGGCATCCATCAGTTGCTCTGATCGCAGCTGAGGGACTCGATGTCCAAGAAACTATCTACACCTGGCACATGAAAACGTTGCTGCAGTTGGTCCAGGATGGCCCTAATCAATATTCAAACTTAGCTTTGCTATATTATCACGCTCTGCTAATCTTTCTCTCTGGAAATTATGATTACTTTCCATACTGGAATAAGATCCCGGCCCCGGTGCTATCCCCTATTGAAATTTCGGAACACCTCACCACGATGCTGTACTTATCGGGCGAGGTTTTGCACCACTCCAAGATTCCGGGGGTGATGCTGCTTTTCCCAGTAACCGTTGCAGGAGCCCGGGCCCGAAGAGTCGATCAAAAATCAGAGATACTGAATGTGCTCAGCGAGATCTTTTGCAGAGGGTTCGTGGTCGCAAACAGGATACGGGATAATTTGCTAGAACGGTGGGCCGAAAGGGATCAGGAGGAGACAATATCCCTGGGACTGGGTATTTAATTATGCACGTTTTTCTTGATGCAAAGTACTTCATTAAGAATCAAATAAAACCAAACCCAGCCATCCGTATGAGCGTCCAGTTCCATTCATTCTGCCTCATGCTCGAAATGCTGCCGACCCAGCTCTTCCATCTCCATAGTCAATTCTTCGACGAACAGAGAGCTCAAAAATCCCAATGTTCCAAATGCTACCAGTTCATACCAGATTGTCTGTATGGCATCCTTATACGCATTCCGAATAAGGTCCCATGGAGCAGGGGAAATATCGGCTGTTCGTAGATAGGGAATAAAGCTTATAGCCTTACTAGGGTCTTTTAACAATGCCAACGAAGCGGGTAACGCGATGCCTTTAACCCTATTGGCGAAGATACTACTAAATATAGTTGTACTAACTATAAGACCTATAAGAGCACTAAAGAGCCTAAAGGAGACTATGATTCCTATTACGAGACCCTAGTTATCGGATATAGCGCTAGCTTATATTAGTATCGGAGGGACGCTGAATATTATACCGATATCAATCCCTATAAACACCTAGAAACCACTAGTAATAGCTATTAAGGATAATTAGTCCTATACTAAGAAGATACTATAGCTAATAGCGAGAAATACCTATCTACTCTAAATCTCCTATAAGTATTTACGGAAGAAATCAATAGCGAAGGCGGTAATTCCTGTAAAAATGAGGACTATATAATAGAATGGTAGGATCGAAATAGAAGATTTAAGTGGTATCTCGAGGTAGACGGCTTAAAAAAATAGTAGAAGATATTACAAAAGAGTATATAGTACGAACCTATAGATAAAGCTTCTAAATAGAGTTATTTAAGCCATTCTCGAGCCGAAGATACGGTAGGGGAATATAGGGTCTATCTAATAACCCTTGTAAAATACAAATCCTACTAGAATCAAAGCACTAATTATTAGCGGGACTATGGTTCTCTACGAGCTCTAAGGATATATATTCCCTATTTAACTAAGAGGTAGGGCGAAAAGAACACAACCGGCCATAAATAGTAGTATTCTAAGCTAGTCGATACGGCTAAGCTAAGAGCGGATAGACTACTTAATAGGTTGGGTTTTAGTGATAATATTGGGGAAATCGGTGCGATATAATCCTTGTCGTCGAGCTTTATCCAGTTGCTAGCGGGAAATAAGGAAACAACGCTTTAAGCGGGCCGGCTAAATGTGGGCTTGCGGAGGTTAACAAAGCCTCAAATCATAGCAAACTCAGGAGATCGACAAAATTCACTCATAGCTTTCACTCCGTTAACTCTTTCTTTTCGATGGATGCGTTGGATTGGCAATCGAGTCGGCACTCGTAATCCGGCCCCCAATTCCCACCTTTGCTGAGCATGGGGGCTTTTTCCGACGTACCTCCGACTGCATATGAAGGAATATGTTTTCCGTCCGAGAGTGAATCAGGCCCACCGGAACATAGCTCTCTCATTGGGTAATGCCTTACCGCCTCTTGGCTTCTCGAAGCATGTACACTAATTTTAATTTTGTATACCAATCTCAACTTCTCTTTTAAATTTCTACACCTATATATATAGTAGTGGGGAAATAGGCTCCCCACTACGCAATTGCCCCTGTCTCTTCTTCTTTTTCCATATGTTGTTATGTAAGCATTGAGATTATGAGGTTACAAGTAGCAGATAGTAGCAGATAGATACAGATTGAGAATACACACTCCTACACCTCTCTGAATCCACTTCCAGGGCAGTGCACCTGGGTTCCTTTGTACGCAAGGTCGGGTATGAAGCTGAGTTACGGATGCTGAATTGACCCGTATGCCGTAGAGCATACAGCCTTGAGCGTTCCCCTCTTCAATATATATCATAATGTACGCCCAACTATTGACCTTGAACCCTATAAAGATGAGATCATCCCCCTTTTCCGAACCGACGTATCTTTCACTTCTATATATATCACTATTGTTATATGCTAGGTCAATGAATGAAGGAAGAGTGCATTCTAACTAGAATAACAAAGCTAGAGAAGAGAGAAATAGAGAATATATAGAGGATCTCTAAGGATTAATCTGTCGAACAAAGGAATAAAGAAACCAAGAAAGCAAGCATGTGACAAAGTATGTGATCACGTAGATCGTGTAAAACATGGCGATACGCGTATAGGGGGATCCACTTACTATCATATAAGTTCGGCTCGGCGGCTAGGCGGGACGCAATAGATTGGCTTTTAGTTTTACGGCCAGCATAGTAACGGGTTAGCTTTAGCAATAGGAAATATAAGAATGTATAGTTTACCTAGAGGAAAGCTTCTAGCGGGGGCTAGAGTAAGCGTACGGGAGTGGTAGTGGGAAGGCTTTAACGCTAAGAAATAAGGTATAGGTACGAATAACATTATATTTAGTACATTTTTTTAAAGGTATTAAATACTATTGTCGACCTAGTACTTTAGGCAACTATTCATAACCTTAGCTAGGATATAATTGTAGAGGTAAAAAAGACTATACTATATTTTCAACATAGTACTTGTAAAGTTAGAGTGGATCTAAAACTCTACCTGCCAACAGTCGCCCGTACCCGTCATGAGTAATACGACAGGGATTCGACTTGGTCCCGATAATTTTCCAGCGGTTTCACCGAGCAAAATACTGTAGGTCTTACGTGATTTTATAGCTACACCAACCATCTTTGGATAGCTAATTTCCATAAATGAGCTAAACACTGGACAATTTGTACTTCGACACTGACTAGTTGTTGTTGAAACAAAAGTCATAAGACTAGTACAAATATATAAATATATATGTATCTATGCACAGGGTAGAAAATATAGAAGAAAAAGTCCGAGCCCCGCCTATCGGCCCGTCTATCGGCCCGTCTATCAACCCGTCTATCATCCCGTCTATCATCCCGTCTATCATCCCGTCTATCATCTCATCTATCGCAATTTAAACAAAGGTTTCCCCGCAAAGATGCACCACTAGGGTGGACCCGAAGGAAAGTAGAAGCCATAACGATCCGACCTGTACTGGTTCTGCCATATGTGTGTGTATATCCAGTGGGAACACCATGATGCACACAAGGCATCAAGTGGCGAGAGAGGATCAGTTCAAAGCAGCATGATAGTCGGCAAGGATGGCTTCGGAGATCTTCTCAGCCATGCCGTAAAAGACGGTCATAACATGAGACGAAACTTGAGTTGGGGGAATCGAGCCGTCAATCACACGCAGACTTTCAACATCATAGACGCGAGCAGCAGCGTCCACGACACCGCCAAGTTCCTTCGCCATCATGGAACATGTGCCGACTCCATGGTAGTTGGGACGGAAATTCTGCTTGACATAGTCTACCCATTGGTCGAGAGTAGCGTTGTAAGCTAAGTTATTTCCGGGAATGGTCTCGCTGTTGAAGTACTTCGTCATTTCACCTTTGTTGGAAATCTCACGAGCCAATTTTGAGGCTGCTGCTTGGCCAAGGAGATCGAGCTCATTTAAAAAGTATTGAGGGTCATATGCAAAGCGACGGAGATAAGGGTCACTGTCCAGGATGTGGACATAGCCGCGGGTGAAAGGAATGAGATCCCATAGGTCAAGGTTTAGTTTTCCAGCGGTGTCAATGAAGATCTCAGCATAAGAGACGTCTGAGTTGACGAGCCAGTCACGGTAATTTTCATATTGAATCAGGAGCGCGGTTTCGTTGTGGAAGCCGCCCCGGGAGACAGCATCTTTCGCCCACTCTGCAAGTTTGGTGTTTAGGAGCTGGTGAGCACGAGGTGCCTGATCTCCGAAGGTTTCATTGAAGGTGGCAAAATACGCAGCCTGGCCCTGGCCTGCACCAATTGAGTTGATAGTAGAGCGGACAGTGGTGGTAGTTTGATCTTGGAGATTAAGACCAACGGGCAACTCAACAAGCTGTTCAACTCCTACCTTGTCGAGAACAGTCTTCAAGCCAATGCCAGAATGCTCAAGTATCTGCGGAGACACGGCTGATCCAGCGGCCAAAAGTACCTCATGTCTAGCATGGACGTCAAAGTTGACCTTGTTATGCGTGCCAAAGTTGACTCCAACGGCTTTAGGAGTGGAGGAGGTGGTATCGAACAAAACCCGTCCGACCATTTGACCAGTCAGAACCTTCAAGTTTGTCCGTTTGTAGTTCGGCAGAAGCCACTCGCGAGCGGCATCTGACCGAGTCTGATCTTCATGCACATCGTTGGGGAACATCGATATACCATGAGGAACACCACAGCTGAAATCCTTCTGAACTGGAACACCAGATTTCTTAGCAGTGTTCATGAGGCTTTTGATCATGGGCGAGAAGCTCTCTCCGGTGTCTCGGGGGCCGACATGGACGGTACCATTGACGCCATGGCAGGAAGGATCAAAGTGATGCCCAGCAGCAATCTGAGCAGGGTTCGGTGGACGGGAGTCCTCGACCTTGTTCATATACGGGAGCAGATTATTCCAGTTCCACCCTTCCATTCCAAACACCTCCTCCCAGGAGTTAACCTGCGCCTTGTGTGGACGTGTCCAGGAACCTCCATTCACCAATGTCGATCCTCCCAGTCCTTTGCCTGACCGAACAATCTCAGTGCGATTGTGAATGGCAAGCGGAATCGTTTCAAAGGCTTGGTCGACGGAGGTAGTGAAGATATCACCATAGTGGTTGAGATTTTCAATGATAGGACCAATGTTCGAGTCATAGAACCCACTTTCGATGACGAGAACGGTGATGTTGGGGTTCTCGGTGAGACGTGCAGCGACGGTAAGACCGGTTAAACCTCCACCGGCAATGATATAGTCGAAAGTTTCGCCGGTCACCTTTGTTGGGTCGGTGAGCAGGCTCGACTGGAGATCGAATTGCTTCTGTGGAAGGGCCGCAGCCACGACAACAAGGCCGGATAGGACGCCGAGGAACTTCATCCCTAGAGGCGGCTTTGACGATTTAAAGAAGCCGAAAATCAATGAAAAGGATGGATGAGAGAATTATCAAATGCGATGAATGGAAGATTTAGGGCATGGGATTGGAACATCTTTATATTTTCATCCCGTCGATCACAGCAATGAAGCCCTGCTCCAAGATACTGCATAGTATACACATGGCCAAATCCATCTACCCGGGTGTACCGCAGTAGTACAGCACAACATGGTAGTAGCATTGGCTATTATTGGTACAACCTTGGAAGTTTACATTTACAAGATAAGATCTTGGCGCCCAGAAAGGCAGCAGAGTACATGTGGTTTACCAAGAGAACCTTATCCACCCTGAAGGATTGACTCTGTAGATCATCTCAGTGAATACAGTGGCACACAAGGACGGAAGTTCAGTCGTTCCGTTGGCCTTCCTATACCGGTCACGTACATATCGATTCCGGATATATGGTCCGGATCACGGACATAAGTAATCGGCTTACCGATAACGTGTCGGCATTCCGATACACAATATTGCCAAGGCTGCAAGGTTATGCATGATGTGTACCTTGAAGGAAAGGCATATATTGCCAACTGTGGCAGTGCAGCCAATCCTCTTTCTGAATCTTGAAATTGTGGGGAACATTATTATTGGCACTCCACTAGTCATCGGGCCAACTAGCTCAGTTCCGTGATCCTCGTGTTCCTGCAGACATCCGGACCAAGCCATCCTTGCCCATAACGACCTTCCGGTCAACACTTGCAGATAATCATCTGGGTCCACACTGCTGAAGGTTAGTAGGAACTAGTTCTAGAATTTACTTGCTTTGAAATGACGTTAAGTGCGCCAAGCATCCTTCATCCCCAGGCATCTTTCGTCCTGGACCACTGACGGTTGACAGGGAACAATCTAGAGTTCGCCTGTTTTGTAATGGGTCTCAGTCAGCTAAGGATCTTCGATCCTGCACCGCTGACGGTCAGCAGAAAACAAGTCTAGAATTCGCTTGCTTTGCAATGGTCCTCAGTCAGCTAAGGACCCATGATCCCGCACCGCTAAAGGCTGGCAGGAAAAGGTTCCAGATTCGCTTTCTTTGAAATGGATGTCGGTCGGCAAAATACCACTGATCTTGATGGAAAACTTGAGACAACCTAACTAGATCAGTCTTGCTGGCAGAACTCAAAGACCAGCCAGGAAATGTTATCCGAGGTGGCGTTCGTACTAATAATATGCAATATACAATATACAAAGTTCAAGCTGCATGTGTATTAGCTTACACTTGGTTCACACGTACTTATGTATGTTCTCAATGCCCCTCGACTTTTCTTTTCTTGTTGCTTCAACTTTTCTTTTTTTGCCACTTTATATTCCATACCGCTTAGCATGATGCGCCCTATTCTTGTATCCACAATTTTGTTCGGTGCCGCCTCTATGGCTACCAAGCTATATGCGGCATCTTACTCAGGCACCGTGACTACTCTGTCCCCGCAGAGGGCGAACGGAAATTATGAGCTGTCGATCGTTGCCCAGACGAAAGACTGTGGGACCAGTCCATCATGGTTGACGCTGGATAATGAGCATGACTTGATGCTCTGCCTCAATGAAGGATTGGGGGCTTCAAACAGTAGCCTTACTTCCTTCCGAGTCAATTCTAATGGGTCTCTAACTACGCTGGATACTCTTGACACGGTTTCCGGTCCAGTTATGTCAACTCTCTATACTATTCCTGGCCAACCTGGACGGCGTTTCGTTGCCGTCGCACACTAGTAAGTACCACCCGAGGAGCATCATGAATCCATTGTGCAAAGTGATGCTGATGCATCTGTACCCCTTAGCGAAGGCTCCGCCGTCACTGCCTACACACTTGACTCAATGTCGGGTCATTTAAACCGAACTCAAACCTTCACCTACGAGCTTGCTGCTCCTGGTCCAGTACCTGACCGACAAGATGCCCCTCATCCACATGGAGTCATCGTTGATCCCACGGGTCGCTTTATTCTGGTCACTGACTTGGGCATGGATCAAATCCATATCTTCAAGATTTCTCCCTCAACCGGCCTTCTACAGCCCCAGAAACCTTTTCTAGTAAAGCCCGGGTCGGGGCCACGACACGCCGTGTTTTGGACACCCAAGGCCAACGTTGCCTCTACCGATGACACATTCTTGTATCTTGTCTCGGAATTGGGGAATACCTTGACCGCATTCAAAGCTCACTATACTCGCAATAGCCTAACCTTTGTTAAGGTTCACGAGGAGAGTACTTACGGTGGAGAGACTATCCCAAGTGGTTCCAAGGCCTCAGGGATTCACATTTCGGTACGTCCTTTTCCCATCTTCAACGCGGATAGAAAAAGAGCGCTGTATCTAACAACACTCAATCTCCAGCCTGAAAATGACCGTATCGTGGTATCCAACCGTGGTGATGCTACGTTTGGCAAGGACGATGACTCTTTCGCCGTCTTCACTTGCATCACTGGCCAGGGAAACCATGCAAAGGATTTCTCATTCGTTGGCTTGTTTCCAGCTTACGGTTCGTTCCCTCGTGAATTTGAGATTAATGCCCAGAATGGATTGATCTCAGTGGCATTGCAAAATAGCCATGAGGTGGCTTTGGTTCAGTGGGATGAACAGACCAGGAGCCCAGGAAAGCTTCTCGCCAAAAAGAGTTTGGATGGAGAGATTCCTGCCGCAATCTGGGGACCCTGAGTACAATCAATCGAGAACCGGTCGTTTAGAATAGTTTTGGTGCTGGGAAACCACCCTTGTTCTTTTCTTTCCTTTCTTTTTGAAAAATTCAAACAAGACCAACAATGCAGACCTCGAGAATACACTTTTTAATGGGACAGCCGAGGGATAGTCTTATGGTCTGTCTGTTTTAGAGCTAAATTGAAAAAGACTTTTCGTCGAGGATCATCACAGATCTGTCTCAGCGACCGATCACCTTTGACAAGAAGTTGGCCGAGGCTGAAGCCAGCCGATTAAATGGTTCAACAAAGTGTAGTGATCTATCGCTCTCTGCGATGAATGTGCCAAAGTTGGGATCCTGCATTTCACATCATAGTATTACAAAAGAAATAGTATAAGGGTCCGAAGGCCAAGAAATGTTGAGGATAGTTGCTGGACAGAAGAATATTTGCTAGGTGGGGGATGATGAATATTCCAACATCCTGCCTTTGTGGGTCTGCCTTCAAATTCGGTGCAATTGGTCAGGTACTCTCTTTGTGTTGTTTGCTTTGTTTGTTCCCCGTTTACTCATATTGGTGTACGAAGTGCTGCATGCTCAGTGATAATTTCTTTAGGCTTTCATCTCAAGATGAGTGAAGAGCACCTGTAGAAGTCACTTCCCGACAACACAAAGACCCCTAGTCTGTGGAATTAAGGAGTTGATCAGGACCAACGGTGCGGATGGGTTCACTGATATATATTTGTGGCTCGAACATGAGCTACAGCATGCTATTGCGGATATTTGAATATTTCTTTTCTACATTTCTACTATTGTAATTTGTCGACAAGGGAGTATAGAGTAGCTCAATGTGGAAGAAGAATAACAGGATGTTATGCCCGAGCTAGAGCAGACGTCTGGACTGAAGAACCATATCTGAAGGGTCTCTCAAAGCAGAGAGGAAAGCCTAATTAGGCAAATTATCCGGGCTACTAGCTTTGACTAGGCGGAACTGCTATATATGTTATTGGTGGAAGCAGCTTCCCCTGGCCCCCATCTTTGGGGAAGTTCGGTAGATCAACCTATAGGATATTTCTCTCCGTCATTGGTGGGATCCTCCAGGGCTGAGAGAGATCCCCTTCTCCGGAAGATCATATTATTTATTAGTTTGGGAATACCATGAACATCGGAATTGTTCCTACCTTAAATCAAAAGTTGATCCCGTTCTCATTCTTTCACTCTCCAAGAGCATCTCCGCACCCACTCTTTTCAACATCAAAACTATGACATTCCTCAAATCCCTTCTCCTGGCGATAATGCTATCTATCGCCTCGAACGCCGCAGAAACCAGTTGCCCAGTAGGCTGGCTCTCAAACACATTCCACGAGACCAAATGCTGCGCCGGCACCATGGTCATCGATGAACAAGGCGCCTACTGCTGCGTCAACGACATGAGAGCTTACAAAGAATCACTCACCAACACAGCACTGCTATATGCCACCCCCACGGCGACCGAAGAGACCAACTGGTCCACGGTGGATAACTCTTGCGTCGCAGAGGTCCGCTTCACGGCGACCGACTACTCGGCGCAGGTTTCGTCGGCGTCCAGCAAGGCTGAGGCTACTCCCACAAATGATTCAACGAGCAAGGTCGCCACTAGCAGTACGACTTCTGGAGCTACCACTGGTACCGGCTCGCAGACTTCCACTTCGACTCTAACTTCGACTTCGAGTCCGACTCCGACTTCAAATGCGGCTATGCCGCTTGCTACTGCTGATGTGCTTAATGGTGCGGCATTTGCTGCTGCTCTTTTCATGCTGTGATTTAAAGTGATATTCTTTTCATTTTGGCCCCCATTTTGGCCCCATTTTGCCTCCGGGTTCGGAAGATGTCGGATACTTGGCTTAGGAGCTTCCATACTTGAACATACGCTTTTAAAATAAATATAGTGACTGGTATACACCGAATCTAGCTGAATTATTAAGGCCATACGTTTGATTCATAGGTAGGCAAACCTTCGGAGAATTATCCGAGAAATACAAAAAAAAAAAAAAATGTAGAGGGTGCACAATGTTACATTATGCCCAGCAGCGGCCAGGACTTCAACGGCTTGGCAGGGGTCAACCTAGACGACCAAGGTCCCACCACAGAATCCTAGACTCATAACTAGCGCAAAACTAGCAATTTAACCGGTCTCGTGACTATTAGCCTCTTATTAGGGCCATTTCAACCTCGCCCAGGGGCCAAGCCTACAAGGTCCACTTTTGGACTTCATTCTGGTTCTCTCTCCCCAACCAGTCAAGCAGTAAGCCCATCTTGAAACAATAGAATGGCACCCGAGGGAACATATACAGTCGCTTACTCCTAGACCATGATATGCTGTTTTGATAGCGGAGACCCTCTGACTCTTGTCATCCGACTGAACTGCCGTGATGGGAGCCTAGTCAGACATACGTTTTATGACGAATTGCGAAAGTTTGACTTTCGGCTTTTTAGTATCCATACAAATGGCCGACCAGGCTTGCCATTCAATTCCGTCTAGTGACAGCAGGAGTTGTTAATCTCATCCAATAGAATAGGATTATCGGATTTACTATATATTGGTTTTCGTAATAAGATTCGTTAGTCCATAGATTGATTCATTTGTGTATACAACGATTTTCGAAAACAGTTTTAAGTTACCGCTCAGACACTCACACTTTGTTTCTCGGCCCGTACCCGAAACTACGCTAGCCCCTTTTAACTAAGCCGTAATTAATCGCCCTCTAATAATAGCCCACTTCCTTTAATCCCAGAACGGCCGTATTACCTATAATACTCTACCTTACACGGAACTTCCATACAATCCAACCTCAATGGCCCTCATCTATCCTACGCAGCACATTTTCTTTAAACTGCGAGCACTGCGAAAACACCTAGCGACATGGCACCGAGGCTTTCCCCGTCAAAGCTGCAATTCATTGGTGATATGATACAAAGCCAATCACTTACGCGTCACCAAATGGCCGAGGCGGCAGAATGTAGTGAACAGACAATCAAGAAAACATGTAGAAACTTACGCCTATTTAACAACGTCCTCTCCCCCCCCTAAATCGTGTCGGACGGAGACGAAGCGTAACGCCCCTAATGCTAGAAGCGCTTTTTGATCATCTACTAGAAAAACCGGGTCTGTACCTCGACGAGATAGCTATCTTTTTATAGGATAAATTCCAGATATTAGCAACAACTTCTAGTATTAGAAGGGCCCTTATATCTAACGGTTGGTCGAGAAAGACTGCCCGTTAGAAAGCGAAAGAGTAGAACGCCGAATTACGAGAAATATATCTTTATAACGTCTCCGAATTTAAGTCATACTACCTTTTTTATATTGACGAACCTAGATATGATAAACGAGTTAGTTTCCGGCGTATAGGCTGGTCACCACTCGGTGTAGCACCTCGAGAGGTGTCACAGTTTCACCGTGACGAACGTTATCAAATTCTACCTATATATACCTAAGATGGTATTTTGCTTAGCCGCGTCTTTTGTGGGTTAACGGATACCGCCGCGTTCGAGGACTTTATTAATAAACTCCTTCGACCTTATAGAAGATAGCCCGAGCCGAAGCCTATCCTAGTTATAGATAATACGTCCTTTCACCACTCCGAACGAATCTCTTAGATTTGTGCTGACGCCGGCGTGAAAGTCGTCTATCTACCTCTATACTCGCCGGATCTCAATCCAATTGAAGAATTTTTCTCTGAACTTAAAGGCTGCATAAAACGGAATTGGAGCTACTTTGTAGATGATCCTAACCGAGATTTCGGCACCTTCCTTAAACGGTATATTAATCAGATTAGGGTAAAGAAACACAGTACTAGGGGCCATTTTCGGCATATAGGCCTTAGTGTTGAGGATTTAGATGATTAAAATTCCCCTTCATACCATCAGTAACATAAAGCGATTGATCCTACATTCAAACACACCCAGAATCATCCAATCTATCTCATTATCGTCATCTACCTTTAATTCACTTATGCAGCCGACACTCTTCACTAACAGAGTAGCTTCTTAGTTGTTGGCCTTAAAAGAAGCTTCAAGTCCGCCTTCGCCTTCTCTGCGTCCATATCATTCGAATCAACGACGCATTTCCCCAGAATCCTATGACTATCCTTCTACCACGTACGGACGATGTCTCCAAGGCTAGGACTCGACCCGACGTCAACTGACAATATCATCAATTGAAGCAACAATATAAATAATATAATCTGATATCCGTGACAAATCCAAAATATGAAAGAATCCCAGCACATTCTAGTCTCCCATCCATAGGTATTTCCATACATTTCGTTGGCCAATTTTCAATATCTCAACCACGTCCAGAGCTGCAGCAAACACAACCTTGCAATCACTTCAAGTGCTGATCCATCAAATTACTCAACCACAATGTCTGCAACCTCTCCGCATATCTCTGAATCGTGCTCAGCCTGTCCATTTCCCCGACCGGATCATTCTCAATCGGCTGTGCTAGACTTGAATCCCACCCCCCGACAAAATAGTTAATCTCTTGTCTTTCACGCAAAAAGCCATCCGCGCCAGGGTGGTACTCGTCTCTAATATGAAAAGACAATTTTTCGACTCCCGGCCGCTCTAAATCAAAATTGTAGTGGCTTCCAATCCAGTCGTCGTAATCGATCCGGATTACCCAGCGAAGTTTGTAGACCCCGTTTTCGAAGATTGTGCCCTCGAGACCCGCTACCCATTTATCTCTTTCTGATGTTGGGAGCCGGTTGGTGACGAGAGTTACTTGTGATGCGCGGAGTTGATCTTTGGTAAGATTTCCCGAAGCAAAGATCCAGACGAATGGATCGCTTGTTTCGATTACATCCCCTCTTGGTGTGTGGTGTGTTGTATGGTCTATGTCTCTTCCCGTGTGGGTCATGTTCGGGGTTGAATAGGTGGATGGAGGTATCCAGGTACTGTCCATATCGCAGGTGCATGAAAGCAGGGAGCTTTGTTATATTGGGATTGAAAGGAGCTGGGATTGAAAGTAGAGAGATTACCCACAAGAAAGTGCATGGGAACTGCGACCCTTACCTAATTTATACCTGGGTAGATCTTCTCCATACCCTTACACAATCACACAACTTACCTAGGGCGCCTAAGAATACGAGTTAGGTCTCGTGTGTGACTGCCCAGACACTATGCACTGATTTGACCGTATCACACTGCAGTTAATGAGCTGGCAAAATGCTCACATCCGATATATGGAAGCTACAACCAAGGCCAACTTTACTCTGGGTTGGGATTCATAGAGGGGGCCAATCATAGTAATGTGAGTGCCGAACTTCGCGGCTATCAAACACCTGAACACGAGAGGTACGTATATACACGGCAAATAAAGGATGGTGCTCAACGGAGGAGCGAAAAATGGCTCCCCTCGCCCAGGAGGGTGACTGGAACGGGTTTGCAACAGCTGTATCATGAGGGGGCTCTCCAGACCCAGCACCACCAACAGGGGACCACGGTGGCAGCTGTAGGTCGCACAGGCCGTTTAATACCGAGTACGTACAGTACACAACGGCCCGGGTGGTAGTTTCCTGTCAGAGCCAGCTAAAAGCGTACCAACTAGTAAACATGGTGGCGAATGAGGACTACTGGAATCATCAGAAATATGCGATTGATTGATTGAGAAAAGAAATCTATGAGGGAATGAGGTAAAGGGGCAGGTTGAGCTGTCCCTAGTCGGTGTAACCGAGTATTCGAGTTACCATACTGGAACCCCAATGTTACCCACATATTACATACAAACACAATAGAAAACTTCACTCTTATTGGGTTAAGCGCATCATGCGATTGTGGTTTGAAAGTGTACTCTCTCTGTTTCCCGACATGGGAGGCAATGACGGTTGCCACTGTATTTTCGCCCACCCAATCCCATCGGTGAATGCACGTAGGGTTTTAGTGGAAATAGGCATCTAGCAATGTTAGATTTTTTTGTTGTCCGAAGTCAAGAAGTTGGTGAGATTGAAATACACTAAGCAGGGAAGGATTGAACCAGACATGTAGCTATGAAACTAGGCTGCATGTTTAACATGCCATTGCGGAACTAGTATCAAGATTATGGGCTGCTTAAATACAGGTGGATTTCATATCCGTGGCTGCCCTGTAAAAATCTCTAGATCCCCATAGTACAACTGCATAAAATCAGACAGCTCCTTCCTTCCCGTATATGAAAGATCCACTACTCTGCTTGTCTACTCATCGCAATGGTCCCTCTCTCAGCCGACGACAACTCTCTCTTCAACAACATCCCCACTCTAACGGACCCTGGGAAATCGACCACTTCTTCGAAGTCCAACATGTAGTCGGCATAATCAAGAGCGAGTTACACCCAAATTGGTACACAATGGAGATAGGTCACTTCTTGGACCTTTCATCCTGTATTAATAATCGACGCAATTTATTCCGGATTCCTAGGGCGTGGAAACAAGAGAAGAAGAAATATCCGCTTGCTGAATACCCAACAAATTACGAAATTGAGAATTACCCTATTACGCGTCTTGATGGTGAAGAGGGCACGGTGGAGGACTCGGCGAGAGAGTTAGTGGATGATATGAAGGACCGAAACATGCCGTTTTCCTACTTGACCCTGGGTAAGGCTCTTTCGAGGGCAATGGGCTGGGACTGATGACAAATTTTTAATTGTGATGGACAATGAATAGAGACTTTGCAGTGATACTTGTTTGTAGATCAAGAGGTTGGCACCAGCATCATACACGCATTACAAGGCAAAGTTTAAAATCTTTCTGTCTGGATACGTTGTTGTTCTACCATAATTGGTAGGTAGAAAAAGTAGAATTTAAATCAATACCTTTGCTCGATAGCTTGGAAATGATAGTACTGGTGATCAACATCAACTACCTAAGTTAGTAGTTCAGTAATCCTTCAGTCCTGATTAAATCTGCCCCACCCCGCCCTAGCAACCCGTCCCGTCAATGTTCTGTAAAGTAATAGTTAGGTTAAATGCATTTACATCATTCCACTAATCTACTAAGTGGGTTCTCGAGCTATCAGATACAGTCCCATCAATATCAATCTCAAGGGTCTTCACCGTGTTCAGAGTATAGTTACAGCGAAATACTAGCCTGGATGCTCAACGCCTATCTTTTAAGTTGTTTGTTACGGGGATGGCCCGCTCCGAAGCCAAACATTGTTTTTTAAAAACAAACGAGATGTGGAAAAGGTGGAGAAGGCCGGGAGGGGGGGGGGGGGTTCCGCAACAGGAGTGAAACAATTCCTCATGTTCAGCTAAGCCAGCCTCATAACTCAGCTACGCTGGCGGTCGCTTAGTGCATGGGAAGTGGGAAGAGTTTGAAGTAATCCCTGTTCAAGTTGGAGAGCGTTTACTAAATTCGGACATCTGCAGGGGTGACCGTCAGCAAGGCAACTTTTCCGAATTCATATAGTTCATAATTAGCTCCACATATAACTACGTATCTGCATCATCAAGGCGGATCAACCATTACGATTTGTGGGTTAGGTTGTACAGCTGACACATTTCCCTCAGCTGAGGGGGTCCCCCAAAGTGTGAGCTGAATATTACTACTATCATGTTTGATCTGCAGCCCAAGTGCCCGAATATGGAATGACGGGGTCAGAGTTGAGCATGATCTCTGTGGGCCATGGCCACCCATCAGTGAGATTTGGTGTAGCTGAAAGACCCATTTAGACTAAGTTATCACACCCGTGCTTTCTTTAGTGAGATTGCCGTAGTTGACAAGTGTACTTTAGATCTGTTGATCAGAACGCTAGATGTATCAATGCCCAATGGGTCTATTATCATGGTTACCCCTCATCTAAAGTACCTACTTTTCCTCAAACATGCACAAACGTCATGTGTTTTCAATTTCTGTATCCCGCATCGAGTTAGTCCATCCACAGGCTATCAGTCTGTGAACTACACTGATCCTCATCCCGCCCGGCCAAAGTCCAGGAATCGTTAGCAGCCTGTCAAAGGCACCTCGAACGCGGCGGTTTTTCTTATTGCCCAACTGATCCAAACGCTCCTGGTTGCTGCGCGATAGACGTATAAACCATCGCTCCCTGAAGGTTTCATCGCAGTCGCCCTCGTATTGTCGAATTTTGCGATAGATTTCACAGTCGGTCGGCTTCCTTTCATTGGCGTATTCTTCCACCAAAGAAGTTCTGAGCTTTGCACCAATATCTACCATGATTGTCAGCACTTAAATAGCCATCTTTTCTCGATATAGTTACCATCTGAGTAAAGATCCACCGTCCAATAAGCGACCCTAACCCTCGGAGGGGCGGGTAGAGGGTCTAAGATCATGGACCACCCGGAGGGTCACTGCCAGGTCTACGAACAATGTATGGTATAGATGACCAATGTTGAAGACTCTAACTAACTAAATTGACAAAATCCGCTTTTTCAAACAATGTGCGGACCATGATGACTAACTGTAATATGCACTTTTGTATAGTATGCCTGGTACCCAATGTCACATAATGTTTCCGGTATATTACGTCGTTTCTACTATGTATTCGGACTTGGTATTCAACAAATAGGTCTAAGGCGCTAGGATTTCTCCAACGAAAGCTCGGACCATCAGCGGACATGCTTGATATCCTAAATTTGGTAAAAGAACTAGACTTCATGCCACTTGCAATCATATAGGCGGCAGGCTATATTGTACAGCGAGCGCCCCGCTGTTCGGTATCGCAGTGCCTAGGGTTGTTTCGGAAGAGTGACAGTGAAGCGACAAAGCTCCTTAATTATAAGGCTCACCATCTCTATCGAGATTGGGAGGCAAAGAATTCGAATTTAGTCATATGGCAAATATCTTTCGATTATATTCGATGCATAAGACCGTCCGCCGCTCACTTGCTCTGTCTCATGAGCTTTTTTGACCGACAGGGGGTCTCAGAGAATCTTCTCCGAATTCAAGGCGAGACAAAAGTGGATAATTCGACTTCGGACAGCGTTATATTCGAGCACAATGATGACGATACGGAGAGCACGTTTAACCCTGACCTAGACCCTGACTTTGAGGATGATATCGCAGCTTTGAGAGACTTTTTCTTCATCCCTATCAACAAAAGCAACAGCACAGTGTTCACGATGCATCGGCTAGTGCAATTTACTGTACGTGCGTGGCTGAAAGCTTATGGACAGCTAGCACGATGGAACGAGCAATTTATCATGATTGTGTGGCAAACGTTTCCGACAGGAAACTATGAAAACTGGACAAGGTGCCAGTCGCTCTTTCCACATGTGAAATTAGCTATGTCACAACGACCAGAATGACAAGATGCTCTACGAAAATGGGCTACGCTGCTTCACAAGGGGTCACGGTATGCGCTAGAGCGCGGCAATATTGCAGAGTCAAGGGATATGGCATTCATATTGCGGAAGCAACGAGCGTTAATGTTTGGTTTAAATAACGAACAGACCCCTGAAAGCACTGCAATATTAGCGATAGCATACAAACTCAAGGGTCAATAGGAGGAGGCAGAGAAGCTCTTTATACAGGTCATAGAGACTCGCAAGGCGAAGCTTGGCGCAGACCATCATGACACGCTGATAGGCATGGCCAACGTAGCGTCGACCTACATAGATCAGGGCCCGTGGAAAGACGTAGAGCAACTCTTTTACAAGTTATAGAGACTCATAAGACGAAGCTCGGGGTGGACCATCATAGCACGCTAGCGAGTGTGCACAATCTGGCGTCGACGTATATAAAGCAGAGCCGGTGGGTAGAGGCGGAGCAGCTCAGCGTGCAAGTTATGGAGATGAGCAAGATCAAGCTTTGCGCCGACGCATCCTGACACGCTAATGAGTATGGCCGACTTAGCTTATACCCTTAGGTCATCGGGCCAAGACATAGCTGCTTTGCAATTGATAACCGAATGCGCTCGACTTTGCAACCGGAAACTAGGCCCTGACCATCCGCATACTATGTCTTCCAAGTCTGCATTGACCGAATGGCGTGGTGGACTTCGTAGGCGCAAGATCTTTTAGCGCCCCTTTAGTAGAAAGTAGAACTCTTCCCTATTCCGTTATTCTGGAGAAGGGCTTTGCTTGACTATAGTAAAAAAGTAAAAAATACAAAACTGTCAAATTAACAGGTTCAGTTATCGCAAAGACAAACAGTCTTGTTTCTCTAACAGTAATGTAATCAATCAATCAATCAATCAATCAATCAAAGTTCAATTAACCTGTTGCAGTCTAACTAGTTGCGTATGACTATGCAGGCGCTTCATCCAACTGAAGCAAGAACTCGAAGCCAAACGCCGAGCTGGAACCACCTAGTGCATCCTATAGAGTATACAGATACTGATCGTAAAGAGTGCGGAACCAGCCCATTCCTATAACCCGTAGCCCTATAAATCCAAACCCATCCCAACCTATATATAAGAAATTAACATATAATGATAGTTGTAGAGTGCACCCTCTACCTTCTAACCCCTACTTCGCTCTCTCTCTCTCTCTCTCTCTCTCTATACCCTCCCCTACCTTAGTTTCAATTGATAGTGATATTGTTCTAGCTATTCAACTAGTATACTTATCGACTCTGGCTGAGTTCTCGTTTTATAGTATTATTTGTCGTTATTAGCTAGTACCTATCGTCTTCTATACCTAGCTCTATTACCGCGAGGTCTGTCGGTTCGTCGTTATCGCTATCCTCTTCGATCCTAACGTATTGAAACTACTAGAGGAGACCTATTTGGTATATAAAGTTGACTATGTAGCGGATAGCCTACGGGTTAGATATGATCTTGTTATAGTCTATATCTATGAATCTAATCCCAATTCTATCTAGTTACTCCTATAATTTCGTGCGCGGAATAATATACCGTAGATACTATATTAAAATATGCCTTAGTATTTATAAGCCCTTATTACAATTATACCGGTTAGTCTTAGCTACCTTAATTTTGAATAAGAAGTATCGAAGTCTAATCCGTATTATACGTATCTAAATTAAGATCGTATACTATAGCTTCGATAGTCCTTTATATAACCGGAGTGTCTTCTTATTCGGCGCCTATACTAAGCGCTTCGTAGGTACGGAGGTTGTCTCCCGCTCCTACTACTTCTCCTATCGCTCTCTGATTCGTTAACGTACCGCTCTCTTAGTAGCTACGGCGAGACGGATTATCGGTTCTCCCGATTCGCCGGTCCCGGTCGTAACTCCTATCCCTATACTAAGAAGCGCTATACTCTTTACTTCTTTATTAGCAAACTTATTGCTATATATACTAATATATATAGGGATCTACCTAATAGTGATATTCGTCGGTGTTTCGGATATATTTCCTTGATTTTATAACTATATAGCCTATACGTAGTTATAAATGTTCGTAAGTACGTATTAGCCGGACGGTCGCTATAGGTTTTAGACTACCTAGATAGTAGCTTGGCTGTTGGAGAAAATGATTACTTCTCGAGCCGTTGATTGTCCGTTATTAAGATTTGAATCTATATTCTCTTCCTTAGTCTTAGTAAGCGCTATCTTAATACCGTTAAGCTTAGTAGTATATACTATAGACTAGGAGTCTATTCCGAGATAACGTCTCTATAATATCACCCCCTTTTAAAGATTGACTATTAATACGCTAATATATCCTATAAATCCGCTCCTATCGGTAAAAATCATATATAGGGTTCCTTTAGGAACTATCTTCTTATAAAAGTCGTTATAGGTTTTTAATACTACTTCTTAATTCTTAATAAAGTAGGGGATCGGTACTTCCTACGGAGCGAGAACAAATATATACTTTTCCTCCTATTTTTTATATTATAGTCGGAGTATTTTCTATATAATTACTTCGGTCGGGGACTATCCCCCGACCCTCCGCTCCCTTAGTTTTCTAGCCTCTTTAGTAATTCGTAGGTATACCTAATATAGGCCGGTAAGAATTTATATAGCTATTTTTTTAATAATCTATTAAAGTCGTAATTTGATAGGAAGAATATATAGTTCTATATTAAGTACTACCCCCGCTATCCCGCGGAAAGCACTACTAATTAGGACCGCCGCTCTCTTTTAGATTTTTATAAGTTCGTTAGTAAGCTTATCAAGATCGCCCCTCGGTATAGCTCTTATAACTAGATAGTACTACGTAGATAGTCCCTATAGTATCTATAGAATAATAACTACCTAGTATATCCTCCGTATTATAATTAATAATAATCCCTATATAGAACCTAAGATTCCGCGGAGTACCTCGAGGCTACCGGCTCCCTTTACTAATATTTTCTTACGATATATTATAAAGTTAAGGTACTTATCGAGCTATACGCTAAGGTATTTAGCTATCTTTATAGGTATAAGAATAATTAGTATCGGGTCCCCTAGGATAGCTACCGGTATACCGGTATAACCTACCGGGTTATCTAGGATTTCCTAGATATCTACGTTTCGGGGAGATATATCTATATCGATAGTATTTACGGCGGCGGTAGAGACGGAGGCGATAGTAGCGAGTCTTAGGTTTATAAAGTATATTAGCTCGAATTTATCCGGTACGAATTTCGCTATATACTTACTAGCCTAGGAGGCCGCTCTTTATAGTACTTTCTCTAATACCCGGATATTTTTCTTATAGCTCTTTAAGATAGCTAGAATATAGATATCGTCTACCTAGCTATATACCTCGCTTTCTCTATAGTATAGTCCTCGGATAGTATACGTACGTATAAGCGGAGCGTTAAATAGGAGGAATAGGATCGGCGATATTAGTAAACCCTATAGTATACCGGTTAGCGTAGCAAATACTTCGCTTAGGTAGCCGTTTAGTAGCTTAATTCGCGTACTTCTACCGGTAAGAAATAACTATACCTAGGGGGCGAGCGTACCGAGTCCTATTTAGTATATATTATATAGTAGTCTCTTATATAATACTATATTATATACTCTAGCTACGTCGAGAAGTAGTATACTAGCTATCTTACCTTTTCCCTATACCTAGTATACTCGCCTAAGGATTAACTATATCGTATAGTCGATAGAGATCCCTTTTCGTCCTCCTAGGTACGTCTCTAGGAACAATTTGTATTCTTCTATAAGCTATATAATTCGAGTCGTAACTATTGCCTTAAGGACCTTACCGAGCGTATTTAATAGTATAACTAGTCGGTATGATTTTAGGACTCGGTAGTCTCGTAGGCCGGCTTTTCGTAATATTACTATAACGGAGGTTTAGAAGTACT